GTTGTAAAATTTATTCATAAGGGAAAAAGCTGGAAATGCCCTTGTTGACTAAACATAATTTTGCAAGGACATATTTTATTCTCATATAAATTATCGTATTTCTTGATATATTTGGATAGAACTCGACCTCACCAGCGTGTAGGCAAAAATTATTCGTGAAATGGAGTTATAACGAAGAAGTTATTGACGTTTGAAGTGGAGGACAAAATAGACATTTTACCATTAATTTGGAAGGCTCCAGAAAATCTGGAGCAATGGGATGATGCCATGTGTGTGGCTGTGAGGAAAAGAGGGTTACAGGAGAGAAAAGGAGGGAAATGGTGGACCAATAGTTGGGGGGAACCGAGGGGGAAGGGAGAGACAAGGAAGTAACACCGAATCACACTGGTCCAGACGACCCAACCCATTTCCTTTGTTTTCTCCGGTGGTTTTCGATGGTTTTTCAGTCGTTTCTAAAGCCAACTCTGACCACCACCACTATCAATGGACTCCTCGTGAACCCAGAAACATGTCCTAAACCTTGGTTGAGGCACTGAAGCACCGGAGGTGACTGATCGAGGCCACCCAAAATCTAGGGTTCCGGCGGGTTTGAGTGGAATTGGGGTTTTTCCCGGCCGAATTGGACTTCAACCTAGGTATAAAAGTTGTTTCCTTTGACTTTCCCTACATTTCTGTAAAATTTGAGAATTTTTAGAAATAGACAAATTTTCCAGCTAGCCGGGGTTGCCGACCGCCACTTGTGGCGATGCGTGGCCAATGGGCCGACGCTGCCTTTTTATGCAAATTTAGATATTTTAAATCTATAATTGGTAACCATTTGATGTGATTCGATTGTGACAGCTAATGTTGAATATTTTCGTTTCTAGAATATTTTCGGAAATGGCTATAAGAAAAGATTTAAACGGAATTATGAACTACTAAAGGCTTGATCTCGCTAAAAGGTACATAAGCAGTCTAACAAGAGTTAGATGCTACCTTAATAATTGAGATTAATGATGAAGCATTTGTTTCAACTCTTTTGTAGCTATCATCTAATGGTAATGTTAATGGCTTAAGTTTAGTAATTTCTTCTTTTATATTTTGAACTAATTTAATATCTTCACTATTAAAATACTTTTGTCCAATTTTGCTAGTTTTACTGTGTAATACTGCTATTTTTCTTCCTAAATCAGGGATAAAATTTCTTGTATAATTTAATAATCCCAAAAATGCTTGTAACTGTTTTTTATCTTCTAACTTATCTGGAAATTCTAAAACTTTTTTAGCTATATGATATTGTAATTGTATTATACCTGACTTGATATACATTCCTAAAAATTCTATATCTTGCTTTTCTAATGCTATTTAATTTTTGCTAATCACAATTCCATTATTGATAAATTCTTGTAAAACTATCTCTAAGTACTTTCTATGTTCATTTCTATTTTTACTATGTACTAAAATATCATCTATATAAACACTACAAAAATTATTATATTTCTTGAAAATTTGATTCATCTTTCTTTGAAAGATCGACGGGGCATTTTTAAGTCCACATGGCATAACAAGCTGCTCAAAATATCCTTCTGGACAAGTAAAAGTTGTCCACTCAATTGATTCTTTTGTTAATCGTATTTGCCAAAATCCTGATTTACAATCAAATTTACTAAAATATTTACTCTCTTAAATTTTGTTTATAAGCTCATCTTTATTTGATCCATCTTTCTTTGAAAGATTGACGGAGTATTTTTAAGTCCAAATAGCATAACAAGTCACACAAAATGTCATTCTGAACAAGTAAAAGTTGTCCACTCAATTGATTCTTCTGCTAATCGTATTTGCTAAAATCCTGATTTACAATCAAATTCACTAAAATATTTACTCTCTTGAATTTTATTTATAATCTCATCTTTATTTGGTAACTTATAACTATCTTCATATGTATTATCATTTAATCTCTTATAATTATAAACTATTATAGCCTTACCTCTATTTAGTTCTGAATGTTTTCTTACTATGAATGCTACTGACCTATGTTTAGACTTAGAGGGTCTAATTACTTTTAAATTTAACAACTCTTTTATTTGTTGCTCAAACTCTTATTTATCTATTAAACTACAAGGCATGTCAGTTGTCTTAATGGTTAAATCTGGATTAATTATATCTAATTTTGCTAGTATTTTATTTTTACTCCAATGTAAATGTGGGTCTTCTCCTATAATTATAGTTTGTTTTGCTAATTATAATAATTCTTCTAAGCTCTTTGATTTATTGAACTGTAATATTTCTATACAATTTCCTTCTTCTAAAATCGGATATTCATGTTCAAATATTTCTTCATCAAACTCTTCTATATTATTATGCTCATAATTTTCTTTTGAGTTTTCTAAATAATAACTATTTGGGCCACTAAACTCTTCTATACTTATGCTTTTGTATGCTTCTACAGTATTATTTTGGTTAGTTATTGTAAAGCCTTTTTTGAAAAATATTATATTAGGGCTCATAAATAAAAAAACCTTGCAAACTTTTCAAAAAATTTAAACCTAAAATGAATGGGTATGATCCTACTGTTGAAACAAATGTTAATGCTAAATTAAATTGTTATTTTTCTACTTTAATAGACTCATTATTAATGCAATGTGTTAAATAAACTGGTCTCACATCAAACTGTGTTATTCTCACTGGGTTTGCTAGTTTTTGTCTATATTTTTCTGGTACTAACTCTTTTGTTATGACACTCTTTGTGCTTCTTGTGTCTATCATGGCTATTGTTTTTATTGTATGTTCTTTTGCTAATTCTATTTCACAGTTTATGCTAATTAAAGAACTATTTTTATGGCTTTTCTATACTATGAAAAGTATTTCCTAATATTTCAGTACTTTCTTGTGATTCTGCTGAATTAACTTCTAATAACCTATTACTATAACACTTTTCACATAACATTGAATATGTATTATAGTATTTATTTGCAACTAATTTACTACACTTATGACATTTTTTTGGCCAACCTAAATTAATGTATTTATATTCTTCTTCATGTTGTTCTTCTACGAATGCACACATATACTCTTCTAGATCACTATTTGTGCTACTTGAATTTTTCGAGTCTGAATCTATCATATTTATACTTTCTATACTGCAAATACTCTCATTATCACTTAAACCATCTAAGCTGTATATTGACTGTATATCCTCATCTTCTTCTAACTTAAACAACTCCATTAAATATACTTTTTCTCTCAACTGTTTACCTAATTTTGGACATTTAGGTCTAATTTGTCCAACTTCACCACATGAATAACATTTACAACTACTTTTATCTTTTGGCACTTTATATTTTCTAACCCAAAGTCTACCACTTCTTTTTTTAAATTGTTTTGGAATATATTTTCTCTTCCTATATGTTCTTGAAGGTCTTATGCTGAAATTCTTATACTGTTTGTATGGTTTGTATGACCTATATTTCTTTTTATATATTTTCTTATGACAACCATATTGTTGTGGTAAATCTATATTTTTACAACTCATGTAAAATTGTTTCCTAATTTGTTTCTTATCTTTTATTTGACTACACTCTTATCTAAGTATATCATATACATGTTGAATTCTAGGTCCTATTGCAATATCATTTTTCTTTGGATGATTTTGCCATTCATTCCAAATCTTTTCTTCTATTGGTTCTTTTATTTTTGTCATATAGTATCTAATAAATTAATATCACTAATTATTCCTATTCATCCTAAATATTTAAAGAAATCTGTGGTATACTCATCTATATACTATAAATCACAAATTTGTAATTGTTCTAAATTTCTAATTGCTCTTATTTGTTCTTGTTCACTTCTGCCATCTAACCTATTATGATCCAAACATTCTTGTTTAATCAAAGTAACAAAACCATCAATATTAAAATGTGTTTTAGCTGCATGATGTTGTTCTAGATTTTGAATTTTCCATGACTGGAAATAATAAAAAACTAAACCATCTAAAGTATGCTCAAAGTAATCTAACATATTTTGTGAATTACTAAAATCTAACATTAATGCTGCAAGTACGCAACCTTTTTTCGATCTTTCAATTGTTCTCTCCCAGTCTTGTGGATCTACATTATCTATGTTTAATATATTTCTTGCTATATTAATTTGTTCTAACCCTCTCAAATATGGAATCCTATTTTTGCTCGATGGTTTTGTCATACTTTCTTCTATTTAATCTACTTTTGCTTTCTCATTATATTGTTCATTTATTGGTCTCAAAAATTGTTGATCAGTTCTATCCGTGTGTCCTAGATTTTCTACTCCAGATGCACTATTTTTTTCTGCTGGATTACATTCTACTTTCAATTCTAATAAATTATTATATTCTTTTGATCCTAATATATGTTCTACTCCTATTTCTAAAATTAATTTTTTTTCATCTCTTCATCTAAAATTCTATGTAGTCCTAAATCATATGAATTATATTTTCTAAATATTTTTCTTCATCTAAATAATCAATATCTTCTATAAGCTTATCTACAATATGATCAAAATTTTGCTCAACTAAATTAATATCTAAATCATCAAAAGTCATATGAATGCTCTCATTTTCAATCTCACTTTCATCTTCTTTTGTTTTTTCTAATTTCTTGTAATTACTAAACCTAATTGTTGCTTGATCTGTACTAGTTTCATATATTTGTACTTTATCTGGTTGTCTATTTCTTGCTACTTGTAAATTAGGTAATGTCCACTGAGTTCTTTCTAAAAAGTTATTATATGAAAGGAGAGTATAAAAATTTTGTATTAGCTTGAGTATAAAAATTTGTGTATTAGCTTAATGTATATTGGTAAAGTGTTTGATAAATATAATCACAAGTTTAATTTAGAATTTCAAAATTTAGTTAGAGAGCTGATTCGGACTTGAGTGTAAAGAGGGGAACACACTACTCTTTCCAATTTGGCTACGCTGCTCGGCTATACTATATAAACTCAAATTATAAATGCAAATCAAACAAAAGTATGCATGATACCAGATCTTTAGCATAGAAACAAGCCTCTTTATTATTCACTAATTGCCCATAACTTAATACAAAGACACAATAAAATTGTGACATTATATTGGGGAGAAAAGAAGAAGAACCCAAATGAAATATTCAAATGATAAATACAAACCCATAAGTAACTTCAGCTGCAAGATTGTGAATTTGAACCACAAATTCTTCCCCAACGAAAGGCTTATGTGATTCAATACGCCTTACGCTTGTCCCATATTGATCTCTTCTTGGAAAAGCCGAGGGGGCAGCGTAAGGGGCTGAAAATCCAATCATCAATTTTTCGAAACATGACAATGAAAGATTGATACATAGGAAATTGCAGCAGGGCGAATAGAGGGACTGGGAAAAATGCAATAGGGTAAAGTACAGACTTGGTCCATTTCTTCTCTACACGAAGCAAGAGCAAAATGGTGGCGGCAAAGGTAAGCATGGTGGATGCCATTGACAAGAAGAGCAAGATGAATCCAGTCATGATCTTGCGAGGAACACTGTTAACGAAATATGGGTACTCGAGAGGCGAGGAGAGGACCGAGAGAAAGAATGCCACAGAAGATAATGAGCAGGCAATGCCCACAACGTCCATGCAGGTGAAGAACAAAAAGTGAGGATCGTTTTGGAAAAGAGGAAGGCCATTTTCGTCACTAGTACCCCCGGGAATGGCGTAGGCAGCTGAAAAGACCACAGTGGACACTAGCACCGCCACAGTTGAGCATGACTGAGCCGTTTCTTTTACCCATTTTTGTGCCGACTCCAGAAGACGTTTATGCTGGCAGTTGAACAGCTCCTCAGCTGTCTGGTCCTTCTTGTTGCGGTGCAAGGTGTACCGAGGCGGTAGTATTTCTTTTACACACTGACACAAACACACGTACACATCTATCATGTTGATGTATAGGTTTTGTTATAGAAGTATTTGTCTAACAACATAAGTCTTTTTCTATGTGAACCGACTTAGGCCTGGTTTGATACTGAGGTGATTATTAAAAAAGTTGGTATAAAAAAAAGCTAGGAGCTGTTTTTGTGTTTGGTAAACATTCAGCTTCAGCTTTTTTTCATAGTTTTGGGTGAAAAAAAAAACCAAAAACAAGAAGCTGCAAAAATCGGCTTTTTTCACATCTGTTTTACATAAAAGTTTACCAAACACTATAATACTGCTTTTTTTTCTTTCAAAAGCACTTTTACAAAAAAGTTTACCAAACACTCTGATGCTATATTTCACAGCTGCTTATTCTCACAGTACAGCAGAAGCAATTTTTTTTTCAAAGCACAGCAATACCAAACCAGCCTTTAATTAGATGCTATATTTCACAGCTGCTTATTCTCACAGTACAGCAGAAACAATTTTTTTTCAAAGCACAGCAATACCAAACCAGCCTTTAATTAGTAACATAAGTACTTGTCTAACAACGTAAGTAATTTATCAGGTCTAGCAAGAGAACATTACCAGCATCCAACGTAGCTCTTCTTGCAATTGCATTGCAGGGCCAATTAGTTTTTGAGACAATGCTTTGGAGTAGTAACCCCTATCTGCAGCCTGGTGCAATATGGTGTTGTCATCGCAGTCCATCCACTCCTTCAGCCTCGACATCACAGTTGGTTTGCTTTTGATAAGATTAAGGATCTCTTTCCGACGGTTCCTAATGGCTAGATGCAATATGTTGCGTTCGTCATAGTTAACGTGCTCAACTGCCTGAGGATGCTGTTCAAGTATCTCCTCCACAATGGGCATAATTCCTGTGATGGTTGCTATATGCAATGGTGCAAAGTTGTAAACTTTATACCTCGGCGCATTATCCGAAATGTTTGTTTTTGCAGCTTCGGGTCCTTTTTCACCTCCATCATTACCTTGTCCCTTATCCGATTTGGATGTTTTTGCGTTTTCCAATCCTTTTTCACCTCCATCATCACCTTTACCCTTATCCGATTTGGATGTTTCTGCAGCTTCCGGTCCTTTTTCACCTCCATCACCACCTTTTCCCTTATCCGATTTAGATGTTTTTGCGGTCGCCTTTCTTTTTTTACTGAGATTGGACCCTAAAGAAATGGTCTTGGGTTTTGCTTTCTCATTAGTAATCAGGCAAGAGTAGTCCGACTTAACGAGCTCGTGGATGATTTTTTCTAGTGATTTTTTGTTTTTTTTGTCCTTCCATATCCTGTAGATTATGCCGCTCTGCGAGCTTCCTCTTCCTATCCATCACATGATCAAGCATATGTATATATTAACTAACGTGTCATAGGAAGATGTTATCGGCACTCTAAAAAAGTTGTCATGCACACTACATCTTCTCATGTAAAATCATAAGGATTAAGTAAATACTGCTTCTTTTCTAGAATTCCAGTAACAAGTTTTCATTATGATGAAAATGCACAGAGGAAAAGGCAGAAAGTAAACAAACTTTTAGCAAGGGAGTCCCACACTGAAGAGTAAACCTTCGCAAAGCCTGCAAAACATTTATGCATGCACCTTCATCAGAAACATTGAAAAAATGCCATCAACGGGGCGCTTTAGCTAGCTAGTTGTGTACTTTATTTGATTAACTAATTAGGTTACCTGCAAGCTTGTTCCGAGAGATAGATTGATGGCGCGTCTGGTTGCTGTCCAAGTTGGTCTCTACATCATCCTTCTGATTGGGTGTGACCACATCTCCTCCATCAGGAAGGCCTGCATATATAACAACATTAAGTAGGATTTGGGCACGGGTGGATATATAGCAGTACGTAGATTAACCGTGCATACAATAGTAAATGAGCATCTTCCATATGCTTTGCTGAAATTGTGGCTCGAAGGCAGTTGGCATTTGGGCTAGCAATTGAAGGCATGTCAATCCTTTATCTTCCTTTTGGTGCGCTAGGTAGTCGTAATAGTTCTCCAGTAACCAAAGAGCAGTCTCTGCATTTTGGAAGATAAAAGATCAAGCAAGAGTTATTAATCTGCAATATTGAGAATCAAAGTGTGCATTTTCACAGAGAGAGAGAGAGACCGAAACGTTGCTCAAGGACTGCCATATGAAGAATGGACATTTTGTCATTTCTGTGGAAGTGCCTCCAAAGATTGTCCGGATTATCCTCCTGCTGTTTGCGATCATAAAACTTGACCAAGTCAGTGTGACCAACAGCAGCCGCCCTGAAGAACGGAGTTTCTCCTAAATTGTTCCGAGTCTCTAGCAGCGGCAGAGCATCATTCTTTTCATCAATACTAGCTTTAGTACTGACGATGACAGGCTCGTTGAAGTTTCTCACCAAGTAATCTGCTGCTTCCACATTTCCGGACAAACTCACGCTGTGAAGAGTATTGTTTCCAGTGTTATTCAATTTCCTCAGAGCGCTTCTAGGGTCATAGCTGGTCGAATTCCCGAGTATATTGATCAACTTTTCGAGGACTTTTTCACCTTGTGTTCTGCTGCAGCAAGAAGCCGCAAGGTGAAAAACAGTGTCACTGCACACCGTCATTGGAATGAGCAATTCGTCCGGTTTGTCCTTATAGTAGTTTGTCACGCCTTCCCAGTCACCCTTCATGGCACATACATAGGGATGTTTCGAGTCTTCAATTTTTTTCAATTCACTATCTCTCTTGTTTTGATCACTCCGATCCTCCGTTGCCTCTCTCCAGTACACCATCTGTGGCAGTTTTCGATGCATTCCTGCTCTGATTCCTCTGCTTTACTGAGCTGAGTCTCAGAAATAATGAGGATGTGGGTCCACTTTTTGTTTTCATTGTCTTCAATTGACTCCGTAAGGAGCGCTTTTCTATTACAAACTATAAAACTAATATCTAATACCATTAATTACATGTTCAACCAGGGCCGGTCCTGAGAATTTGGGGCTCTAGGCGAGCCTTTGAAGTGGGGGCTCTAAAATTCTCTGATCTCCGATTCTTTGTATATTGATTTGTATAAAAAAGAATTTGCTAAACACATAAAAAGTTCTATTTTCACATCAATATTATTAAAAATTAATATCAAAAGAAGATAAATATACAAACATTACTTAAACATTACACGATTCACGTTTTTAGACACAAATGTACTAAATGTTTGCAGTCAAGAGTCTAAGATTGAGAGTGAAGAACAATAAAACTTGATGATTAAGAGATTAAATAACAATAAAACTTGATTGATGAGTATAATAAATTCAACACCAATTGTTTCTCTTGTGTTTTTTTTTCTTCTAGAATCAACATCTCACTAACGAATTGAATATTAAAATAATCCATTGAATAAAAAGTTATTGAAAAGAAAAATATAAATTCAAAGTTTTGATTACCTTAAAGTACAATCTTTAAAACCATATGATAGTTGGTTTAAACATTCAATAGAAATGGAGAGAATGAGAAGTTGGTTTAAACATTCGATAGAAATGGAGAGAATGAGAAGTTGAAAAAAAAAAAAATTGCAAAGAGACTTGAGTTTTATAACTTTATGTGCATTTGGACAGATGGATTGGGAGTTGGATAGATGGATTGGCAGTAAATTTGAAAAACAATAAAAATCAAGAAAAATCTAGTAACTAAAAGGGAGCCTTGTGTTTCGAACTCAACATCCCAAAGAAAAATGAAGCCAACATTTCCACTGCACTAACAAATGAATTATGATATTTCTTACTTTTTTTTTTTTTTTGTATTTATATGTTAATTACAAGATATAAATTTTTTTAGGGGCCCTTCCTAAGTGGGGGCCTAGACGGGCACCTACTTGGGCTAACCTCAGGGCCGACCCTGTGTTCAACTATACAACTAATATCTAATACCATTAATTACATGTTCCTTCTTTACTTGACAACCTTTATTGTGAGGAGTAATTAACATTGACAATAACAACCTCTTTTGTTGACAATAGAGGCTTTAGCATGTGGACAGACATCAGCCTCTTTTGTTAACAATAGCAGCTCTAGCATGTGGACTGACAGCAACCTCTTTTGTTGACAATAGCAGCTCTTATTGACACTTCCCCTCAAGTTGAATGCCCAACTTGTTTAGTGAGCTGTGAAATACTATACTTGTGACTGCTTTGGTGAGCATATCTGCTAATTGATCTTCAGATTTTGCGAATGGGACTTCAATGAGTCTTGCCTCAAGTTTTTCTTTAATAAAATGTCTATCCATCTCCACATGTTTGGTTCGATCATGATGAATCGAATTGTGAGCAATGTCAATCGCAGCCTTGTTGTCACAATGTAGACACATAACATGCTTGGGCCTAAATCCCAAATCTCTCAATAAGTTCCTCATCCAAAGCAGTTCACATACTCCATGTGCCATACTTTGGTATTCTGCTTCAGCACTTGATTTAGCAACGACCTTTTGTTTCTTACTATGCCAAGAGACTAGATTTCCTCCAACAATAACAAAGTATCCTGATGTTGATCGTCTGTTAGTTACATCACCAGCCCATTTAGCATCAGTGTAGCCTTTAACGTCTAGATGATCATGTTTTGAAAACATTAATCCTTTCCCAGGAGCTGGCTTTAAATACCTCAAGATACGGTTTATAGCATCCATGTGTGTTTCACTTGGTGCATGCATAAACTGGCTCACCATGCTAACTACATATGCTATATCTAGTCTAGTATATGCAAGATATATTAGTTTACCAACAAGTCGCTGATATACAATAAGAGTAGTGATTTTACCTTTCTTATGCTTTAAGAAAAAAGTATGATCTGAGTTGTTGTACTTGTATCCGAAAATTTCATCGATTTGGTAAATCTCGCAAACTAACATGCCCCAACCCCAATATCCCCAAATATCAGGGTAGGCACGTGCTGGCCGACACCCAAGGGTGACGAAGCCATTTTAAACATGCATACAATTAAGAATACGTAATTATAACGAATTAAACCAAAGCAGAATCGTGTTCAGAGCATACAACTAATCAAGAATAAAGTGAAGGAATTATGATAGAAGGGTACGAACCGAGGAATGTGTTCTACACAAAAGAGGCTCAAGGATGCCCGAGCGAAAGTATCCTGATGCAGGGATCGTGTGCCTTAATTCTAACTCCTGAAAGGGCGCAAAATGGAAAAGGTGAGTGGACCAAAGTTTATAATAATACTAATAATACGAAAACCAATTTATTTCAGAACATACTAACCCCCTATTTTGAATACACAAATATAATACTACGTATAGGTTTTATGAAAAACCCTATCATGCCATGAAAAATATTTTAACAAAATAGGTACATAAAATCCAGTGCTTAATCATGGGAATATATGATATACTTAACTAGGGGTATCATAGTGGCCCGAAGGCATAACCATCACCAAAAGTGAAGCTGTGTGACACTGGGTTACGCCAATGAAGAAACCAGGGTCCCATCACCCGAAGGTGAAGCTGTATAACTCCAGGGAGGATATAACATATCTATATGTATATGCAGTGGGTCCATCACAGGAGGGTGAAGCTGTACATCTTTGGGTTATGCCATAAAAGAAATATAGGGTTCATCACCTGAAGGTGAAGTTGTACATCTCTGGGTTACGCCAGAGAAGAGGCATATACATATAACATCACACACTGACACTAGCCCCGATCTAGTGAAGCTAGGGTAGAACATCAATATCATCAACTCCTCATCCGCTCAAACGCAATACCGGTCCATCACCCGAAGATGAAGTTGTATGACATTGGGTTACGCCAGTGAAGAAACCAAGGTCTATCACCCGAAGGTGAAGCTATACAACTCCGGGTTACGCTAGAGAAGAGGTATATACATAAATCTCCTAAACTGTCCTATGTATAACCCACTAGATAAGTACTAAAAACATATCTCAAAAACTCACATCAAATTCGAGCTCACAAGCTCAAAATCACATCTCATAATTCATACTCATAAATCCATAACCAAATCATACTCGAGAGCCATAGAAATTCATATATGAAAATCCAATACTTCATAACCATTCGTAAATACGTAATTTCGATAAATCATAGATATTTCGTAAACCATAATTATAGAAATCTATAAAGCATAACTTTAAACATACTTAAATCAAGAAATATGAAATGCATGCTAGGCTAATATTTTATAAAAACATGAAGTTATGAAGGGGTCCATTCACAGATATTTTATCGCCCGAGAGCCCCCAAACCATCGTGAACGGAATCACTTCCACCGATGCACCTAAACGCACATATAGAGACCATTTAGTAAAACTCTATCTAAACGATAGAATTTGGGAAAACGGATGGTGAATTTGGATTTTTGGCACATCAAAAAACCTAAGGAGGGACTTGGGTTCCCCCCTCCCCCCCCCCCCAAACGAGCCGCCACAGGATCCACCACTAGGACAACGGCCAGAAGTCCACGCGCCGCCGCATATGGCGGTTTCCGACGAACGGAAACCCAATTTTCCAACTAACTTTAAAAAATTCCCAAATTTTACAAGCAAGTAGATCTCAATGAGAGGAGGGAAACATCGAAAAACCACCTTGATCCGCCAGAGACCCTAGAAATGGGTGAACCTCGATTCGTCTACTCTGGTGATTTGCTGCCCCCAAACTTGTTTGGGCCCTATTCATGAGTTCAAGATGAGTTGATTATGGGTGGTGATTAGTGGTCGAACTTGTAGAAATGGTGGATTTTTGTCGATCTCCCTCACGGTGCCGTCGGTGCTATCCCCACGAAATCGAGACAAGAAATGGTCGGGTTTAGGGTGGAACTTGAAGAAAGAGGGTTGTGGAGTCATGTGCAGATGGTGGCAAGCCTTGGATCGCAGGAAAAACTATGGAAAAATCGTCGAAAACAGTTGCCAAGAACTGGGTCGCGACATGGAAATGGGTCAAGGGTCTGATTGGCTGCTCCATCAACTCTCTCATTTCTCTCATTTCTCTGTTTTCTCATTGATTCACTCCCTCACTTCCTCCTTTGATTAGTCCACAGCCCTCATTTTCTCTCATTTCCTTTCTATCATAGCCACACCCGTGGCTTCACAGATCTTTGCTCCAGAAATCTAGAGCCTTCCAGATGATGGTCAAATGACCAATTTGCCCTCAACTTCGTTCGTTAATAACTCTTTCGTTATAACTCCAAATTACATTTCGTTTGCACCCACGCGTTTGTGGTGACGAGTACTTCAAGAATATGCTAAGTGAACGGATCTTACGTGACATAACAAGATGGCAACAAAAGTCAACGCATTTGCCTCGAAGGGCATTTTTGTAATTTCACATATTAAAAAAAAATCGCAATATTTAGGGACAGGTCATTATAATCTACCCCCTTAAGAAAATTTCATCCCCAAAATTTAAAATAACTTGCTATAAGTAAAATACTCGAAAATAGTGGGAAATAATAAGTGTGTATACACACACACACACACACACACACACACACATATATATAAAGAAGAAATCAAATTAGAACGGCTGCATAAAATAGAATGTCATTTGGTCGCGCTCGGATTGCAATGATTCCTCTTTCATGCCTCCAAGCTCATACCTTCTTCCTTCCCCAATATAATATTATAGTATAATACTCATAAAAATATAAAGTTGAAAATACATATTATTAAGTAAAACATAACGTCAAAAATATACGTGTAAAAAGATAATCGTCAAAAATAGATATACATATAAAAACGTACAATTCAAATATTTGTACCAAATTTAAAAAATCCAAAGTGGGAATAATTTCCCCAAAATTTGTAATGGCAAACATACATATACATATATATATATATATATATATATAATGTAGTTTTAAAAAAAATATTTG